CGATGGGCAGAACACTTTAGGGATCAGTTCAACTGGCCTTTAGCCACACTTAGGTTTCCCACGATCTCCAGTTGACCTGGATGGAAAGTTAATATAAGTCCTCCGACTCTTTACGAATTTGAGAAAGCTACAGGAAATTTGAAGCGAGGGAAAGCAGCAGGCCCTGACAGGTTTACTCCTGAGATTTTTAAGGATGGTGGTCTAGTATTAGCAATGAGATTAACCGAGGTCTTAGGTAGAATTTTGGAACTGGACGCAATCCCATCTGACTGGTCTCAATCACTGATTGTGCCAGTCTATAAGAAAGAACAAAAGTCCTCTTGTGACAATCACAGAGGAATCAGTTTGACTAATATAGTGTCTAAAATATTAGCTTCAATAATACTTCGACGCCTAACTAAAGCTCGTGAAGAGCGGACTAGAAGAAACCAGGCTGGTTTTCGACCTGGACGTGGTTGTATAGACCAGATATTCACACTACATCAGGTCCTAGAACATAGACACACATTCAGATGCCCCACAATCATAGTATTTCTCGACCTTAAGGAGGCATTCGACTCTGTTGATCGTGAGGTTCTATGGCAGTGTTTGTCACTGAAAGAAGTACCAAAGAAGCACATTAACCTTGTAAGAGCTCTCTACTCGAACACAACTGGTCGAGTGAGAGCTTATGGCAAACTGTCATCAGAATTGATTACCTCAAGTGGTGTTCTCCAGGGCTGTTCACTCTCTCCATTCTTGTTTAACTTTGTCGTTGACGTGCTTTTAGAGATAACACTTTCCTCAACTAAATTTCGAGGGGTTAGACTTCTACCGGGAGATTCACTTGTTGACTTAGAATATGCTGATGACATAGTTTTATTTGGTGAAGACGCTGACAAAAGGCAGAGTCTTTTGACCAATCTAAGCAACAATGCAAGCATATTCGGGATGCGATTCTCCCCTCGAAATGCAAAATGTTGCTTCAGGATTGGGTTGCATCGACATTCGAACTAGTGATAGGGAGTGAAGTAGTTGAGCGTGTCAACCGCTTCACTTATTTCGGAGCCTCATCAGCCCTTGTGGTCTGGTATGTGACGAAATCTCAGCACGGATACAGAAAGCTCGACTAGCTTTTCCCAACTTGCGTCATTTATGGCGTAGGAGAGATATCCGTCTATCAACCAAAGGACGTGTTTACTGTGCAGCAGTTCGTTCCTTCCTACTTTATGTCAGTGAAACATGGCCAGTAAGAGTAGAGGATATTCGTAGGTTACTAGTATTTGATCATAGGTGTCTTCGAAACATTGCTCGTATATCCTGGGACCATCGAGTAAGTAATGCAGTTGTTAGGAAACGGGTACTAGGTAAGGATGGCAAATCAATTGATGAAGTAGTGAAACTTCATCAGTTGAGATGGCTGGGACACGTGTTACGTATGCCCAACGACCGACTGCCTCGACGTGCGATGTTCAGTGGTATAGGAGTAGGTTGGAAGAAAGCTAGGGGCGGCCAGACCAAAACATGGCACAAGTCCATGAAGTCACTGACAAGTGGACTGAGTCATGTTGGTAGGTGTAGACTACCTGGTTGGGGACCGCGAGATGATAGCAACCGATGGTTAGAGACCCTGAATGACATGGCTCAAAATCGTTTGCAATGGCGCAGGTGCATACACTCTTTATGTTCTCCCAAATTCTAATCTTCTGAATTCTTCATGTCCCTTTTTTTTCTCTTTCCAAATTTATTTCGCTGTATTTTACTCGTTGAATAACATCTCCAAACCCTAATCTTTCCAATTACTGCTTATACTCTTGCTACCTCTACCACTACGGGATTTGAATCGACAACTGCATCTCTGTGCTAATGTGGTGTGGCAATTTGAACTGATGTACGTTCGTACGAAATTCCACATTTTTACTGACTTGAGCGCGCTGATCGGCCATTTCTTAACCAGAGCTAGCGGATACTCGGAGAAGACTCTAGAATCTTGTGTAAAATTAATTATATACTAACGTTTTTATTATTGTGTTTTCTACTTCCATTCACCTTTGTTTGTTTGAACTGTAATTACGTTCCTGTTCAACCATGTTCTGTTTTGGAGACTTATCGAATGAAATGAAATGTCCGAATACTAAACAATAAGAGTATCTGGGCCGTATTTAGAAAAGCCGTTATAGCATTTATAACTTTTATTGGTAAACTGGAGACTTCAAATGTTATTTTGACGTAAAAGTTCAAAGTGTTGTAAAGTGTACTTGGCTGCCCGATTCTAAATTATCAACACCGTAGTAAACGTAATGACATTAAATAAGAAAGAAAGATTAATTCAGCGAAGAGTTCTCTTTTCGGCGAATTCATTTTCAAAGCTGTACAATCGCAAATATATATACTTATTTTTACAGGGTGATAATAATACTGATAATAAACTTATGATATACATGGTGACGGTGAGGTTAAATAAACAAAGGTATTAGAAAACATTTTTTTTAAAAACAAGGAAAGTTTGATAGTTAATGGCTTAGATATTCATCGGGTAAGAGTAGCTCAGCATGATAAAATAACATAAAATGTTGAAACAGAGATGAAATGTAATCGGAATGATCGTTGAAATAAAAACAAACCGGTTGGGGTACAAGATTTGAAGGGAAGATGGAAGGTGAAGCAGGTGGCTGTAAAAGAACAAGAGTAATGAGAAAGAGAAAAAAAAATTTTAATACCTTAAGACCACGGTAAAAGAAGAGGTAGTACCAGTCTCTTTTGTACACATAATTCTGGTTTTTCAAAATGTATGGCTATTGCCTCGGCAATGCAAAGGAGATGTAGTCTAATTGTCTTAGGAAGGTTTCTACTTACCTTGTAGATGACTTTGAACGCAGAGTCTGTCTTGATTGAGTGACCTGTGTTCACAAGGTGTTCGATTATAGAACTTCTTATTGAGCCGCTGCCTCCTCTTCTTAGCCATGCTGAGCTACTCTTACCCGATGAATATCTAAGCCATTAACTATCAAACTTTCCTTGTTTTTAAAAAAAATGTTTTCTAATACCTTTGTTTATTTAACCTCACCGTCACCATGTATATCATAAGTTTATTATCAGTATTATTATCACCCTGTAAAAATAAGTATATATATTTGCGATTGTACAGCTTTGAAAATGAATTCGCCGAAAAGAGAACTCTTCGCTGAATTAATCTTTCTTTCTTATTTAATGTCATAATGGGTGTTTTCCGTTTATTAAACGTAATGAATCAAGGCGGCCATTGAAAGCTGCGATTTGACGTCAACATTATGTGTCCAATATTATCGTTTCAACCTTCAAGTGGTAAGGAAACGAACCGGTTTTGGAAGAAGTACGTTTAGTACTAAAAAACAATATTTTTCAGACTAACTTCTTGACAATCAATAATTATAATCAGATAATCACTGCGTAAAATGAACTTTTTTGATAAATTCATCTCGAAATTGGACGAAATACATGATAACACAATCAAAATATGGTAGAATATCATGCTCAAGTAATAAATAACATATTTTTTTCAAAACTACCAAATTTTAGTCAATTGGTGATCACATCTTACCAATCGATAACCTTAATGATTGCTTTTTATCATATAGAATCCTTAAAATGTGGCGAATCATTCAGAGTAATAGTTCTAAATGTCAAATCGAAAGTAAATTTAAAAAGAAGTAGATGGGGGATGTTATGGACACTCAGAGATAGACTACAGCTTGTATATTTTTGGAGGATTTCGAATAAATTCGGTTACGGTCTCTTGAACAATTCGCAATATTTTTCAGGTAAAAAACAGAAAGCCTGTTGTTCTTCACACTTTTTAGATGATATACTAGTAATATAGATGTCTCGTGTCGTAACTCATGTGCAGGTGTTTCTCATAGAAATCTCACTAAATGGGATTTAGTAGATATTTCTGTATGTGGTGTTGTGTATGTAAGCATTCAATTGTCTACGCGTTCACCAGTACTTAAGGATTTCAAACCTAGTTATCTAGAGTGAAATTTACTTGTTTCGAATCTCAGACTATTAGATAGTAATGTAGATATGATCCATTGTTCCACTCACATCTTTAAATCGTAGTTCCTTATTCTGAAAATAGTTCTCATTAAGGATTGTTGCCATCTAAAATACCATTGACAACCGATTAATCTTGGAGAGCTACTTAGTTGCATCTTGATATTTCCAAGGGATGGATACGTTAAATTCCAAAAATGACTTAAAAACCCAAACTCGGAGGTCTTTGGATTACTTTATTCTTATAGGACTGTACTGCATCAAGAAATGATTGGAGCATATGTTTGGTGATGTAAATGTATCTATTTTCTATCTACTTAATTTCAGGTGTCGATATTATTTCATATCTTATAGTCCTCGAACTATGTTGTTTGTTTACGTTTTTGTTACCAATTAATTCACCGTCATTTTGATTCCTTGCTATATATCTGGTTAATTTCTTCCCGATGTCTCAATATGAAGTGTGTCAATTTCAGTTGATGTCCATTTGTTCAAGGTTCAGCTTTGGTGTTGATAGCACTACTCGCTTTATTTTATCCCACATTTTAAGCAAACAGCTTTCATGTTCTTTCATGTGGCCGGTCTCATTTTAAGTGTTATCAGATAAAAACTACGCTTAAATCAGACAAATCCTTCGAACCAATTCGTTGAGTGATATTCCATTATTTACCAATCTGTATAATCATTGCAGTTGAAAAACAATATGTACTCATCAGCGTTATTGTACGATAATCGCTTCGTATCTTCGATAATGTGAATCACGAAATCCTGATTTGGTGCTTTGAATGATAATATTTTTGAGATCCTTGGACCCGTAGATTTATGCTGACAAACAGTGAAGATAACTATATAACGGTTCAGAGTTTCATAATTATTAATATTTTCCTATTGATGTCAATTTGTGTTTGAAGTAAGCACATCCGTTTTTTCCCTATTACTCATCTTTAATGGGTTTTCTTTATACCTACTGATCAAAAATTCAACTTCAGGTTTACGAAAAACCTTTCTTCAAATAAACTTCATATGAGTTTATTAAAAGGTGTTTTGGAGTTGGAAACACTAGAATTAGAAGAAAATGCTTTAATGGAGCTTCTTGATCTGCCAACTTGGTTACTTTTACGTAAAGCATATTGTACAAATGTTGTAGCTAAAGTAAGTTCTCCATTTTGTATCACGAATAGCAAATAAAACGTTCTTTTTAGATACACTGGACAAAGTTAAAAACTCATCCTGTTTTCATTGTAAGCATTCATATTAATCTCACTTTTTATTATCATGAAAAATTACTCGTTGATCAAGAGTATTGATCTTGTAAATATTGAATTACAAGCGCTCAATGAACCACGTCCAGCTTCACAATCGCCTATAGCTAATTATAGGTTTGTTTTTTGATAAAATCTGAATGAACGTTTCTATCCCTATCACAGAGGTGGATCTGGCAAATATGGGTTCAGTGATAAAGTAATTGATGGAGTTACTATTCAAGTGAACTCAGTGTTTATTGAGTTCTTCGCTCAAGCTTTTCAGGGCTCAGTTGAAGTATGTCTTTAAAAATGCTCTTGATAATTGGCAAATTATATTTTTCCATAGTGGTTTTCTGTATGTCATGTGTTTCGAAGTATACTCAAAACAATATTCGTTATTTAGACATAGATCGATACATAGGTGTGATTGATGAAGAATTGACTAATTTTACATACATCCGTCGCTATAGCGTTACATAGTCATATGGCAAAAAACAAGTAGTGATATCATAGTCATGGTATTATAGGGTGGTTGTTTGTTGGTTGAAGCACTTGACTTTAAACCACTGAGCTGCACCCTCAAGCCTGGCCTCACCTTCTGTTTAATTTTTTGGTCAGTACTGCTAACACAACTGAAGTGTGACTCGAAGCTCAGTAAACAAACCTGTATCTGTTATGCGAATTGATTCACATTAGGAGTAGAACAATGAAAATCGATTTCAGTTTATAAATCCGCTTTGTATTGTGTCATCATAGTATAATAAGTCTATTGATTTCTTCTATCCAAGCTGAGTGATCAAGAAATACACCATAAACTTTTGTTTGTTGTATTACTAACCGTTATGTCGCTCCCTGATGCACTCCAACCTGTATTTAGCTCCCGAATTGTATTGTGTTACTTTATTATCCACGTTATTCGTATTGCTGTGCACAAAAAGGTAGTTTTTAAGTACTTTTAAATCCTGTTTCGAGCTTCTTTTTGTGATTTCGTTAAAGATTTCCGAAGTAAAAATTTATGTCCCCTGATTATTTTGATATCTGTATATGACCTTTCAATTTTTTAAAAGCTGTATTCACCAGTGTGTATATTTTATGAACGAAATTTTGTTGTAATTTGTCATTCTCTAATCTCTAATACCTGTACTGTTGAGTTTATGGTTCCCTTATACTCATGTATAAGATATAAGGGGCTATGTTTGACCTCCTAGCTATGAGGTATGTGTGTTGGTCAATAGTACAATTATAGAACTAATTTCACCAGATTAAATATTTTTTAGGTGGGGGATCTTGGCTATTGAATGATGTAGTTTGCTTCTATCAACCAAGACGGTTAAGGGACATGTTGTGCACAAATATCAGTCGTCTGTTTCAAACCCTAATAATAACTTTGATCATAAATAGCGTAGAACCTTGCGCATATATAGATCAGCTCACATTGCTACACCACATCAGCAAATTAAATGAAATTGTCAAGGTGAATACCAAGTTAGTAGAAGTTGTAGTTGTAGTATCAGTGATGGCATAAAACAGTACACGTGGAGGATAAAATTCAAGTTGAACAAATGAATTCCAAGGGTAAAAATTATTCAATAATTTTTGAAACTCAGAATCAAACAGGAGATAAAGAGTGAATCCATCTGCACCATGGCGACGAATTTCAAGCAATGCAGCCCAAAGTTTCTAACTGTCTTTTATGACAGGTAGCTTGCACCTAACAACATAGCTCATATCAACTGTTAATGTCTTTACAAACTAATTCCATGTTTTGTTTTAGCTGCCCTTAGATTTCTACCAACCTACCCGTACCTCAGCCAACATAACCTTTCTGCTGCTAGAGTCACAAAATATTTGTTTATTTCACAAGTTGAAATCATGAGTCAATTGAAGCTAGACCACCATGGAAGACCTGGAAGCACTGGACGGCCGTTTCGTCCTGGATGCCGGCTCAGTAGTCTAATGGTTAAGTGCTCGCACGCGAAACCAGTAGGTCCTGGGTTCGAATCCCGCGGGGTGCGGGTCGTGGATGCGCACTACTGGAGTCCCATAATAGGACGAAACGGCCGTCCAGTGCTTCCAGGTTTTCCACGGTGGTCTAGCTTCAATTGACTCATGATTTCAACTTGTGAAATTTCTAAAAATCTCCACAAAACCCGTTCTGATAATTTATTTATTTATTTATTTGAACACATTTTATTTTCTTCATTTGTGAAATAAATACAGTCTTCGCATAGTTTATTGTATCATTCTTTCAATTGGTTTCCTTTAGTTGTCCAGGTTTTGTGTGCTGAGTAAATCACCGAACTGGCAAAATTGTTTGTTAAATTTAAGCACTCTGACATTGCCACAATATGATTCCATATTGATATTCAAGGAAGTATCTTGGGAATCGGCACGTATTGTGGCCGATGGTCTACTAACTGAACTACATGGTACACCAGTTAAACTTATAACAAATCAATCTCGTGTGCGTTTAACAATGAAAAAGCGGTTATCTGGTAAGCTTAATTATTTTTTGGCTATAGATATTACTTATACTTTAGTTATAGTCATTTGTTAAAACAAATACAGAATTTCAGAATTACCGACATTATTCTTGCGGCAACGTAAAATTGTTCTTATTTTTGGCGATGCCGAGTTTTCTGAGCAAGGTGGTTTAATTTCAAAGATTTCATTATGGCTCTGTACATTATCATTAGCGCTGACTTAAAGTAGAAGTGAATATCTTGACCATTTCACATGTGTTAAGTCAGTTCATACTGATGACCTCACTCTTAACGTCGTGTCTTCATCTGTTTTTATATTTCTCTGTCTTGTTGCCATTTCCTGTTGTTTTGTTGACCTCCAACCATGTAATTGGTTGACGTTTTCCGTATGAACTGACGATTTAGTTATATTTCATTTCGTTTAGACTCACATCTGTAGGTTAAAAATCAGGTCACCTAGTCAACTTCGTAAAAGCTTTTATCCAGTTACGAAGTTAGGTCATAACAAACAGGTGTGATCTGTCAAGGGTTTCGAGCGAAATTTCTCTGTTGATTGGCTGCAATTATTCGCCAATGAAATCGTGTAAAAAACAATTTATGCTAAATTTCAGTCTTTTTTGTAGAACACTATTGATTATTGGCAGCACGGAAATATTTTTTCAATGCTTAAGAAATCTACACTAATTAATATGTATATTTTCAACAATACAAAATTGCCGAGAATCTTTTGTTACTAGAAACAGTCCCAGGATTTTAAAGTGTCTGTCACTTTATTCGTACGAAAATACCACCTCTCATTCTTTTTTTCCGAAGATATAACTATTTTGTCGTCGTTTTGCTCCAGTTTATTAATTCAATCTGATTGTATATCTGATTATTTGAACACCTGAAAGTTCTAAGCAAATAAGTCTGAATGATATTTTCCAGTAACCTTCGCTTTACTTAATACATTGATAACCTAAAAGTGTAATTTATAATCTCTCACTTTTGACGCAGATTTTTCGAAGTTCTGAATTTTGTTTGAGTGTGGTATGTTAAAATATCTGTCTTAAAAGTACGCTCATTTTTGAATGTTTAAATATGTTTCTGTGTTTCAACTCAATACTGAATTGTTGCGTGATCACTAAATAAATAAAGATGGCAAACTGTGTAAGACGTGAAAAGTTTATTTATACTTATACCTCGATAACCATATTCACTTACACACACCAGCATAATGAAAACGAAATTTATGGTCATAATAATAAAACTGTTTTCAGACAGTAACTCACCTTACTAGACAGGCAATCAATCTTATATATATACTCATCATAGTAATGTTTATTCATAGGTATTCAGACTAAACTAAACAGTGAATCTGCGAGGAGTGGCCTTGATTAGGGTCATAGTTTAGTCAAAGCTTCACAACTTCTACATACATTTATCTGGTTTAACAAACAACCGTATCACATCATATGACCTTATATGGCTATTTAGATATGTTGGGCTTGTCACAAATTTCCTCAGATGACCTTTTGTAAAAGTTTGACTGAAGTCCCACATTAGTGATCCAACAATTGCGTTGCTACTTAAAATATCTCTTCCTTTTATTCTCGGTCAGGTGAGTTGTATGTATAACTAAAAACTACGTGTACAATGGTAGAACAGACTTTTGATTTTCGTTTCTGTGATTAAGATTGTCATCTCACTTGCTTTTTAAGATGTTGCATGTTTGAATTGAAAATAAACTGTCATTAATCGGCTGTACTATGTTCCATAGTATAATGATAAGACAAAATTGATTTAAAAAGTATGATTTATTTGCGTAATCCATTTTGAACACTAGCCACACATTACATTTTCTTTGAAAACAATCGAAGGTCAAATAAAAAGTAATGATCATAAATAAAGTATGTAACATGTTATGCTTTAATACTGTAAGTGAATTAAGGTTTATCAGCTCTTGATGGCACAAATATATACCGATTCTATCTTTTCACATGTAAAATCAATACACCAGTAGCGAGAACATAAAATATATGAATTTCCAGAATGTTAAATATGGAATGTTATGTCTGTAAATGTTTAAAGGAAGAATGAAAAATGATGCATTTAATTGATTACAATCAATTTTGAATAATATAGTCTCCAATCATAACTGGGAATTATCTCGTTTAACCCAACCAAGAAGTTCTCACTTCCATAGATGTCTCAAGTAAACAGGTAATAACTTTTTGAACTGAAACCATATATTAGTCTGGTAACTTTTTAAACTCTTCCGAAACTATTTTCAAATTAATTAGCATAGATAGGCGATGACTGATAGTCTAAAAAACCTGTCGCAATGGATTTTTGGTTCGAGCTATACTTAAAATGTTGCTTGTAAGATCTATCAAAAGATTTACCGAATGGATGATCCCAAACAAGAACATGTAAACGGTGACCTAGTCTAGGCGAGTAATCCAACGGTTTCATCTTATCTACCATATGGGATTCAGGCAGCGTGTGATCTGTTCTAGCTTGTGAGGTATATCAGTTACAAAATTCAGTGTGAATCATCTACGAAATAAAAGTCCAAGTGCTATCAAAAGGACTACATAAGTTAGTCAATAGTTCAATCTAGGGACATCTCGTTAATTCGGGTCAAGCTGCTTCACTAAAATCCTCCAAACTCATCCGTATATTTGAGAGAATTGGTTGTGTCTTTCCCCCTATCGTTCCCATTTGACTGACCCTCCTGGTCTCCCACACTGCCCTGATATTCCAAGTGCCTATATCAATTGTTACTTTAATTTTCAGAAGGGTCGTCGGCCTCGCAGCTTCGGAAGGGTGTCGGCTTTCATTATGAGACGTCATAACTCTTCTATATGAAGACCCTCCAACTTCCATGGCTGAGTTTGGACGAATTAATTGATTCATTCTGGTTAGGGAGGTCCTTTCCTACAAGGGGGTTTGCTAATTCTATCGAGGCTTGGGACCGGGTTTAACCCAGAGGGGCCCAGATGAAGTTACTTGATGGCTAATGTTAGGTAAAAAGAACCATGTAATTCAAGTGGCTATAAACATAGTTGAAGCTTAAGAACTTCGTACAGACATTGCTGAGATAAATGTAACTATTTCTGAGTTTGATGAACTTCGTTAAGAAATAATATAAACACAATCTTTGGGATTTACTTCCACTTTTGTACGTGTGTGGTGGGCTTCACCGGTAAATTATTGGCCTTAGACAACACTTTTCGTGATTATTTAATTAATCATAGCGCGTATCTCCTATAGTACATTGATGAAACGATATATTTTCAGTGCATGACTAAAAAAGCTTATTTTCTGGACAAATTCTAAGTATTTCTGTTCTAATTTTTGTTCCCTACTTCCTTCACCCTACCCACGTAGATGGGTCGCTGATTAGCTCACGTATTCGTCTTATACTAGACGATATACTTTGGGTATTCACATTATCTCAAGTTGAAGCAGCCATTGTATTTGCACGTTCTTTAGAACATTCAATACGTTTAGCCAATGAACAGAGTAAACGATTCGCAGCAGAGAAAGCTAAGGTTAGTATGTAAAATGTAGTGGATTTAAAAATTAATTTTTTCTTAACTATCAGTTTATTTCGATTGCCTTAATTGACTGTTATTATTACTGAGTTTAGGAAACCAGGTTCTATGATAGAATCATATTCAATTAACATTTAGAGTGAGCGATCTTATGGGCACAGATGAAGTTTACAACAGAGAAAACTGAACAAAAAAGCACGAGATAAAACTCATTAAAATAATCTAAGATTACCTATGTTCAGAGCGCCAATTTGGCGTCCAACTTGATGAAACAAGTCCTACATGATTGTTAATTCTATCGAAGCGTCCAAGTAACCCCGATTGAGATACGCGCAAAATCGAAGTTCCAAAACAACGATTTGTCTACAAAAGCGGTTCTTTATTAAATAATACACAAAATTTAGTTACAAACCTCAACTTGTGAGGTGTCTAGGCGTTTAAACGTGTCGTTCAAGAATGAAAATAGCAAAGGCTTTTAGTAAGAGTAACATAAAGAATGATTATAACATACGATAGTCCAAAGACAGCCGATAGCTGTGTCTAAATTTGATAACAGTTTATGAACAACCGAAACTCGAACCAAGAGCAAACAATATGGAAACTGTTGCGTTTAAACAAATGCATAAAACTGTTGGTAGACGTTACAGTAATTAAATTACAGTGATTATAATGATCAATACAATGATAAGTAAAATAAACGTTAAAGATATATGTGAACATTCCAGAATGTTACAGTACAACCTGAGTTACGACATAATTGTGAAAATTGTTGGGCATACAACTGCTTACTGAATATAAATAAGTAGTATAAACCAACATACAAAAGAGTAGAAAAGGAATGAGCAGGAACAATGTAAAACAAACTTAACACTGCCCCCCAAAGACAGCATGTCTTTCCTTACTTTCGCTGATTAGGTATTAACGTAAAAACATTCAGAGGTGACAATGGTACGATTTACTCTAGCCACAGTCACTCTGAAAAGTCTCTCCATCCTCTACTTTTCGTTCGTCAGCTCCTTCTAATAAACAAATTTTACGTATGTCTCTAATAATTGTACCTTTCCACGTTCTGATCTTCGCTTGTCTCCATAGACCATCTCCTCCTGGGTCAAAACTTACCACGAGGCCTTTAGGCCAGTTATTTCGTGCATAAGTGTCTCCAATAATCAAGACTGGATCGCGAACTTGTAAATCTCGTCTTCCTTGTGTCCATTTTGTTCGCGTCTGTAAGAGTGGTCTATCATTAGGTATTCTTTCTGCTTCAGTCAAACAGGTGGTGAGTGTCTCGTAGGACATAGATACTGCGCTCAAAAGTCTACGTATGCTTCCTATTAATCTTTCCCATACTCGATGATGATTTGCGTAGGGAGTGTTGTGGTGCCATTCTATGTTCCGATGAGTCATTTCTTTAGCTACTCTACTATCCTTAAAGTCTGGTAATGGATGTTGTATCTGCTTCTCTAACCCAACTAAAGGGGACATGGATGTAGTTGTCTTAAACTTCTTATCATCATCAGCAGACTGAATAAAACAATCATCTTTCTGATTCTCTGTTTCACGCTTGATGTCAATAGAACTCTCAGCAGACGCCACTACAGGAGATACAAGTTTCGTATTTGCAGAGAACTGAGTTGTTGTTGCTTTGCAACTAATTGATGACTCGTGTAGTAGTATCACAGACTTAGCATTATCGTTTACGTCAGAAACACCAGGGAGATCTGTTTCGGCAGAGAACATAACAGATGTTTTCGATGACATTAACTCGCCACTATCTGTTGGAAGAATTTTGTCTGGAGGAGAAATACATCTAAGGTCAATATTCACTACTGTATCGACATGACGATCGTTGGCAGTTTTTAGAAGGTACTCATCGTCAACAGCTGGTAATGAAATAACTTGTTCTAAATCCATTAGATTCTCGTCTGTCGCTTTAGATACAGAATCAAAGGTGTCTATAAGTCGGTTACTTCTTGAATCAGGTGGAGTGTCAAATCCAGAAGAACGAACTGACGGTAAACCTTGATGAACCCTGGAATCTTCAGTCTCAACAGCGGCTGCTGCTACTATGAGTGAGCGTACATCATCATCATCATCATCTCATCGACTAAGAGTGCCACATCTGGAGAGTGTTTAAGGCATAAACCAGGATCATCTATGAACGGCAACAAACGATTTGAAGAGTTTTCAGGCGCTACTGTGGTCAAAGAAAGGGGCGGCGTGGGTCCGTCCTCGATAGAACTCTTTGCTTCTAAACAGTTTATGAAGGCTGAGGTTTTACTGACTTTACCCGCGGGCCCAAATAAAGCCCACCCTAACATGGTTAGTGAAGCGTAAGGTTGTTGGGGCCTTCCGATACGTTGATCGAGAACCAGTGGGCTTGTGGAACGTCAACTCCAATTAACAACCCTACTCTGTCGCACGTAATAGTAGGTAGCCGTACACCTTTCAAATGTTTCCACCTTTTCTGGAAGTCGGTCGGTGGCATTTCTGCTTTTTTAATAGGTAGGTTATCGATAGTGTATGCACCTTCGATCCTTATTCGGTTAGTCTTATCTAAAGATTCAATTTCGAAATTAGTAAATTCAGCGTTCTGAAATGACGCTCCAATTACAGAGGATATGTTTAATCGAGTCACTGTACCTGAAATTCCCACCTGCTTTGCCACATCACTAAGCAGTAGTGTCGTGTCTGATCCGTTATCTAATAATGCATATGTATCCACGTGTCCTGTGGAGCCATGTAACCTGACTGGTACAAATCCCAAATACGTTCCAGTAGAATAAGTAGAATTACAGCGTGCTTGTTTAAAATCAGGTTCTGTGTCGTGAAGAATTCTATGATGACGTCGTTTGCATCCATCGATGTCACACGACATGGGTTGTCGGCAGTCTGTTGCTCGGTGATTGGGTTTTAAACAATTAAAGCAAAGTTTAAACTTCTTCAGTAATTCTAACCTTTCGTTGTGATTTACTGCTAGCAGCTGTCGGCAAGATACGACTTCGTGGGTATCAGAGCAAATTACACAATGAACTGTTCCGTTACTCGACAATGTATGGATCTTAGCTCTAATAGAAGCAGATCGGTTGTTCGATGTCGTTTGAGCTTTGTAGCTCCCACTTGCTAACTGTCCGTAAGTGTTCGTGGCGATTGACACTCTGCTTTCTAAGAATTGCAACAAATCATCAAAATTGGGCTCTAGCCCCTTTCTTAAAATATCGTCTGCGACTTCCGCCCATTTTAACTGTATGGCTCGTGGTAGTCGTTTCACTATTCGTTTTATATTGGTCGAACAATTCAGATCGGCATTTCTGCCCATCTGTGACAAGGCTATCTTACAGTTGGTCATGAGTCTCGTTACTTTCTGTAGCCCCGTTACATCGTCGTGATTTAGTGGTGAGCCATCTAACAATTTTGTTAAGAACGCTTCTACGATGTCATGTGGTCTTCCGAATATTTTGTGTAGAATATTAATTGCTTTAGTATAACCTTCTTCTTCTGGTAATAAAACACAATGCTCTATAGCATCCTTAGCTGTGCCTTCACAATAATGTATCAGGTACATTAATCTCGGAGTATCATCATCTACTCTGTCAGCTATGTTAGTCTTGAATCCTTTTATGAACGTCCAAAATTTCAAAGGACTTCCATCAAATTTCATGACCTCTATCTTCGGTAAACTGGCTCTCATAAACAGTGACTTGATACTATCCACTTGTGCTTTGAGTTGCACTTCATCGCCCAAATGGGCATTGGTGTGCCGGCGATCTGACGTGACTGGTGGGTTTATGTCCCTGGATCGAGACATCGATGGCTCGGTGGCCTCACTCGCTTTTCTCTCTTTGCCTAAAGAATTCGGAGTTAACTCTAACAATCGTTTGCGGAGTTGGAGTTCTCTAATATCCAGCTCAATCTTTTCTACCTCCTTTTCCCTAAAAACTACTTCGCCGTCTATGCTGCGTCTAGTCTCAACATAGTTGTCTCCTACAGAACAACTGTCTTTGGGGTTAAGTTTAACATTATCAAGAGCAAGATTTAAAGAAATAGGTGAATTCACCTGAAGGGATAATATTTTCAGGACTGGAATCGTCTGTGTTTTCGAGATTGTCCCCGTTGTACTTCATTCTTCTTGTCCTCGTCATTGTTGGTACAAATGAGCCAAATCGAATTCCAACCAAATTCGTTACAGCAAGTATTCTCACCAATTAGGACCAAAGTTCAGAACTGTATCTACACCAATTAAGACCAAAGTTGAGAACTGTTAATTCTATCGAAGCGTCCAAGTAACCCCGATTGAGATACGCGCAAAATCGAAGTTCCAAAACAACGATTTGTCTACAAAAGCGGTTCTTTATTAAATAATACACAAAATTTAGTTACAAACCTCAACTTGTGAGGTGTCTAGGCGTTTAAACGTGTCGTTCAAGAATGAAAATAGCAAAGGCTTTTAGTAAGAGTAACATAAAGAATGATTATAACATACGATAGTCCAAACGCGATGGCGTTTGAAGCGAACGGTACTGAGTTCGAGTCCCAGAGTGAACATCAACTCTGAGATGCAGGTACATCCAGCTGACGAGTCCCAAACAGGACGAAACGCGCGTCCTGGATTCCACTGCTAGCCACTATCCATCTTTGCTTATAATGCTTGTAAATTAAGGCAATATCGAGGCATACGCACAGTATGCACATATGCCAATAAGAGACTGATCAATTTCAAAAACATCAATGGGAAGATTCAAGTAAAACAATATCAAGTGAATATGGAAACTGTTGCGTTTAAACAAATGCATAAAACTGTTGGTAGACGTTACAGTAATTAAATTACAGTGATTATAATGATCAATACAATGATAAGTAAAATAAACGTTAAAGATATATGTGAACATTCCAGAATGTTACAGTACAACCTGAGTTACGACATAATTGTGAAAATTGTTGGGCATACAACTGCTTACTGAATATAAATAAGTAGTATAAACCAACATACAAAAGAGTAG